GAGGCGGTTAGGGGTGACCAGGCCAGCAGGGGAAGGCAGTTAGGGGCAATCAGGCTGGCAAGGGAGGGCAGTTAGGGGCTATCAGGCAGGCAGGCAGAGGCGGTTAGGGGTGATCAGGCAGGCAGGCAGAGTGGTTAAGGGTGATCAGGCAGGCAGTTAGGTGAGTGGTTAGGAGCCAGTGGTCCCAGATTGCGAGAGGGATGTCCAACTGCAGGATCGGGCCTAAACCAGCAGTTGGACATCCACTGAGGGGTCCCGGATTAGAGAGGGTGCAGGCCAGGCTGAGGGACCCCTCCCCCCATGCACGAATTTCATGCACTGGGCCTCTAGTATCTATATAATCTAGTAAACTTGATTTCCAGGCAGAGTATTGAAGGTGCTGCCAAAACACCTTCAAAACAAAACAAAACAAAACACCGACAGAGGAGTAAGGTAGACTAAAAAATGAATTCTTAAGTTTTCAAGCAATTTGGAGACTATATAAATACTAGAGGCCTGATGTATGAAATTTGTGCAAGGACCTTGGCCCCAGCCCCCACCCGTGGCAGCTGCAGCCAGGGGTTGTGGGGGGAGGGGGCGGCCTCTGCTGCAGCCTCCGCTCTCTGCAGCTTTGTCTGGAAGGAAGGATGTATGGAAGGACGTCCAGTCTAATTAGCATATTACCCTTTTATTATTATAGATCCTAGAACAGTCTTCAGCCAGGAAAGGATCCCAAATTAAGAAATGGCTTCTGAGAAAATATATGTTCCAGATGAAGCTATAAGATCTTTTGTTTAAATCTCAGAAAGATTGAAGGTGCAACCTTAGAAATTCTTCCAAAAATATAAAAGGCCTTCTAAGGGTCTTTAGTGTGTGCCTTGTAGATTCTCTTCATTAAACAATGAAACTTCTAAGAATCTTGAGGGCAGAGTCCCCCAATAACCACACCAGGGCCCAAGAGAGAGAAGGGTCTGACTCAAAAAGATCTGTATGACAAATTCCAACTTTCTTAACACGGTTAAGGCTCGGATCCCCACTCCAGCCCAATCTCCTGGCACTTCTTCCTTCCTCTCTGTGCTGGTTAAGCTGGTCTTTATGATAAAGTTCTTTTGTTTCCATGCTGTTCTCCCTGCTTGGGTAGCACTCCTTCTCAGCTCATTCTATTCCCAGTGAACTTTTACACATATTTCAGCTTTAAATGACACTTAACTTAGATTTCCTATTCATGCTCTCATAGTATCCTTGTATTTTTCTTTCATAGCACTTATGACCTTGCTAATGAAATAATCATTTGCATAACTGTTTGATATCTGCTTCACCACTGTACTGTAGACATCATGGGGATAAGGCCCATGTCCTTCTTGTTTCCTGCTCTAATCCCAGTACCTAAACAGAGCCAGGCACATAGTAGGTACTCAAAGACCATTTGTTAAATATTATTGAGTGAAATTGTAAGATAGCTGACCAAGGTTTACTTATGGCCATAGAAGTAAGTAAAAGATGAACTTGCCCATATGGTATCAACCTACAACATTGACTTCATAGCTATTATGCTCACAAATCAGCTGAGCTCACCCCACCAGGCTTTGGGCCCCCTGAGCTTGCTCCCTATAGGCCATCTTGATGTCACCAGGGACACTTCTGATAATAGAATCTCTCTCTTTAAAAAATTGGTTTATGGATGAAAAAGTCTCAAGTATATAGGATGCTGAGTTTAGCAGAATTTGTATGTAAATTGGTATTTGGCTGGTGATCAATCTTGTGCTAAAAATGGAAAATCAATAATAAAAAAGAGAATCTAAGGGGAAAAATAAGTTGTAGACATTTTTGGTCCAATGAGTTTCCAAGTCCGAGGACAGTGCATCTAAGACCAAGGTTACTGTCTGTTTGAAAGGAGTGTGCAAAAAAACCAGACGAGCATCTCACACACAGAATATAGCTGAAGCTCCTGGTGAAAGAAGAGTCCCAAAGGCAATGCTTCCCATAGCGCTTGCTGGGAAAGGCCTTTGAGGTATCTCCTTGGAACTCAGAAAGGAGGCACCGTACATGATCAGCAGTTCCAGGATCTGTTGAGCTGCAGAGTTCACTAAACTACTGAAGGCACCAGAGCTGACCTCATGTGCCAGGCAGTGATGGCACACAGCAGCAAGCTTAAGGACATTGAAGGAGCATGAAAAAAGGAATAAAATGAGTAAAAACACCTCATCTTAGTGCCTTCCACTAGATACCAAAATGGATTGGGACAATCCATTCTATTGGCACAATAGAAAGATATGGATTGCATGGGGGAAGGGCAAATGTTGCTGAGTAGCACCAATTCAAACAACTTCTGATTGAAGTAGGTGTGTGTGTGGGGGGGGGGGGGGGGCGAGGAATGGTTAAGCACCCATTGAGAGGCTAGTGGACCCAGATAATTTGTGTAAATGCCTAGTTAAGTTTGTTATGCAGAGATGCGGGAGGTCTCATTGAAAAGAAAACAGCTGTTATGGGTTGAATTGTGTGCCCCTTCCCCCTCCCCCCCTAGTACTGCAGAATGTGACTTTATTTGGAAATAGGATCATTGCATCATTGCAGATGTAATTAGTTAAGATGAGGTCATACCAGAGTAAGGTGGGCCCCTAATCCAATATTACAGGTGTCCTTATAAAAAGGAGAAATTTGGACAGAAACAGATACACATAGAAGGAAGACACAGGGAAAAGATGGGCATCTACAAGCCAAGGAGAGAAGCCTGGAACAGATCCTTCCCTCACAGCCTTCAGAGAAAACCAACACAGCCAATTTCTATTTCACAGTTCTAGCCTCTTGAGCTGTGTGACGATACATTTCTGTTGTTTGAAGCACACAGCCTGTGGTCCTTTGTTAACAGCAGCCTGAGCCAACTAACATAGAGGATCATGCAATAGCAGAGTGCATGGATCTTGGAGGCAGTGCACAGATCCTGGATCCACCCCTCACTAGCTATGTGACTTTGGTTAAGTCATTTAAAAACTCTTTAAAATTCTCAACTTCCTTTTCTCTAACATGTAGATAATCAGGAGTGATATTCAAGATATTTAACAGCCCATTAGGTGCACTACAGAGGCTGCCGAACCCACCCGTGGCCACTGGAGGGTAACTCTAGGTCCACTCATTCTTAAAGATTCATTCCAGTCTTGGGTGGTGGCTAGACAGGCACTGAGCATGTATCTGCTGAGGTGCCATCAACACATTAGCCAGGGTTCTGTCTACTCCTTTAGAGTTGGTCCAATCAGGCCAGGGAGACGCATGACCACTGTGGAGGGAGCACTCAGGGCTCTCTACCCCTTATAGTGCCCACCGGGGTCTCTCCTGGGCTGGGGTGTTCAGTGGGGAAGAGGTATGAAGTGAGGGGCTCGTTCAAGGGATACAGAGAAGCTGTAAATTACCAACCTATATGGAAGCATTTTAATATTTCAACAATCAACCACGCTTTCCTGACTTTCACCTGCTGAATATCAGGCCTGTGATAATTACAGATATTTATACAGTTTTGTGAAGATTAGATGAGATGACACGTGTCGAGTGCTTAGAAAAATGCCTGGCATATGACAATAAATGCTAGTTTACATTATTATTGAGAAGAATGGTACTTCAATAGAGCTCAATTTATTAAGCATTAATTAAGCACCTACAACATGCTAGGCACTAGCCCAGGCATTAGGAATACAGAAATGAGTGTGGCATAACCCCTGCCCTCAAGGAGTTTATTTTTAGCAGAGCTAAGATACTCTTTTCTACTTCCCTGCTTTTCATAATAAAGGGAGATGAGGGTCTTCCAGTATTTCAATGCCTAGCACTGCTGGTTCCACCTTTCTAACCACACTAGATGCCCCCATGCATTCCTCATTTGAGTATTTCTTTAGGGACTTGCTATGTCATGGTTTGGCTTAAGTGATCCCTGATTTGGTAGGTTTTAAAACAAACAAACAAACAAACACTTGTACTGAGGCCTGAATTCAATTGATTTTATTTCCATTAAGATAAAAAATGTCAGGCTTAAAAGTGAGTTCTGGAATTGACATAGAGTCACTTCTACCATATCCTTTGGTAGAGCCAACTTGGACCTCCAGCCCAGACAAGTCTTCAGAGGACCCCAGCCCCAGCCTCCATCTGACATCTACTTGGGAGACTCCACCTGAGCCCAGTCAACCCACAAAACCACAGGAGACAGTGATAAATTAATATTTAAGCCACTGGTTTGGGGCAGTTTATTGAATAGCAAGAATACCTGCCTAGTATTCTTTTTCCACACAGGGCATCCACACAGGATAATTTGAGGTAAAAATCAGAAGTGCTGCTATGGTAGCTTGTCTCCAAAGCTGGGAACCATTAAATTTTCCTCTCCCTGCATGTAACTCCACTTCAACTCCATCTAGAAGTGGAGTCTATTTATCTACCCTCTTGAATCTGGCTGGCTTAGGAGGAACTGTGAACGAAAGGATATGGCAGAAGTGACTCTATATCAATTCCAGAACTCACTTTTAAGAGGACTGGCAACTTCCACTTCGCTGTGGTCTGAATGTCTCTGTCCCCTCAAAATCTATATGTTGAAATTTTAACCCCAAGGTGATGGTATTAGGAGATCCTTTGGGAGGTGATTAGGTCATGCACGCTTTGCCTTCGTGTCTTGGATTTATGTATTTATTCAAAGAGACCCCAGAGAGCTCACCTTCCACCTCGTGAGATCACAGCAAGAAAATGGCCATTTGGAAGTGGGTTCTCACTGGACACTGAGTCTGCCTGCATCGTGACCTTGAACTTCCCAGCCTCCAGAACTGTGAGAAATGCATTTCTGTTGATTTTAAGTTACCCAGTTCTTGGTGTTTTGTTATTGCAACCAGAATGGACTGAGACACACTTTTATTCCCTGGAAGCACTTGCCCTTGGGCAGCTCCCCCTGGGAACCTAGGGGCCATGCTGTGGGAAGCCCAACACAGAGAGACATGAGTAGGTGCTCCAGTGGACAGTCATCTGAGTTCCCAGCCGACAGTCAGCATCAACTACTAGCCATGTGAGCGAGCCAACTGGGACATCCAGCCCAGACATGTCTTCAGAGGACCGCAGCCCCAGCCTCCATCTGACTTCTACCTGGGAGACTCCACCTGAGCCCAGTCAACCCACAAAACCACAAGAGACAGTGATAAATTAATATTTAAGCCATTGGTTTGGGGAAGTTTATTGACTAGCAATAGACAACCAGAATCCTGCTCTTAGGAACCTCAAATATTGCCAAGCTGTAAGCATTGTGAAAGAGGCAGGGCACGGGAATCCAAAGTCTGGGCTCTCGCCACAGCTCTGTCCCTACAAGCTCTGTGACCTTACCACTCTGGGCCTGTTTCTTCTCTTGTATAATAAGGATCCAGACTGCTAAGATTCCTCACACTTCGAACGCTCTGTAAGCTCTCTTGGATGATATGAGTATCACCTTCACTAACCTTTTGTACAGAGTTCCATTCAAATGGAAAATTCTGCTTTTATTTCATAGTCACCGATCTTCAAGGTCATCGGGCCCAATCTGCTCATGGTATAGATGAGGATAAGTCACAGAGAGGTGAAGACGTCTCAGCTTGCACACTCCCTGCTTCTCCCTAGGCCCCCTTTCTAAAGTTCTTGTCCAATTTCTCCTCCCTTCACTTTGGAAAGGGGTCATTGCTTCCTCGTTTCTAAACGTTCTGGCATCTGTGAGTAAACTGGCCAAAGGGTGCTTTCTGTGCCTCTGTGTCTTTGATCTTGCCCCGTCTCAGCTTTCCACATGGACCTACCTGGTTTTTCAGTTTCTGAGTGTTTTTCTTTTCTCTCAAAGTTTTTTCTTTTACTATTTTTTTATTATGGAAAAATAGAGATAACATAACATTTGCCATTTTAACCATTTTAAGTGTACCAAATGGACCCAGCTCCCAAGATCCATTCCTGGCCCTTGAAGCCTGGGTGACATCCTAGCTGAAGAGGCTGGTCCTGGAGCATTTCTCTGTGTTCCTGTAGAGCTCAGCTGCTTGATGAAGAGCCTCGAGGACAGAGCCAGGTCCAAGCCTGGTTGTCATCCCCATGGCCCAGCTCAGCGTACAAATGCTCAAGAAACGTTTGTTGTGCTTTGGCTCAGTTGGTTGGAGTGTCGTCCTCTTCACCGAAAGGTTGCGGGTTCCATTACGGGTCGGGGCACATACCTAGGTTGTAGGTTTGATTCCCAGTTGGGGCTTGTACAGGAGGCAACCAATTGATGTTTCTCTCTCTCTCTCCCTTCCCCTCTCTCTAAAATCAATAGGGTGAGGATTTAAATTTTTTTTTTTAATTTAAAAATAAAAACACAATTGTTTGTCAAGTGAATTAATGACCCTATAATGCTAAAGGAAAGCCTCCTAAGTCTCTCTTATATCACCTTAAGATTACTCCTCTTGTCTCATGGGAATAGACAGGCTTCATAAATAGCAACACTGTGTCACACGAGGGCCCATAAGGGGCACATATATGCCTCCTTCTCCAAAGGTGAGCTTCTCAGTGCAACAGCGGAGACATGATAGGCTCATAAATACCCCGTGTGACAGTCTCGTTTTAGAACTCACGTTTACTTGCCATGTTGTGTTTCTGTTAGAGAACAAAGAGAAATCTGCCCTTTGGTGACTGAATGAGGTCAAAGCATTATAATGGGTGTCACCAAGGGCTGACAAATTCCGCCCCACGAATGTAATAAAAATGAGCAGATCACTGCCATCCTTTGAAACACTCGCTCAAACATGCCTGTTTCAAACCCAGGCTGTGGGCTGCAGCTACCCACCTCTTTGTCTTCCTCCAGACCAGGCAAGCCGCATGCAGCAGCTCGGGGGCCCACAGCTGTTTGGACATTGAAAGGAATCGCAGATTTGGCAGAAAACGAGAATATCTGTCTAATGGGATGAAGGGACAGTGAGACCCTTGGCCTGGCGGTCTCTGCTGTCTTGAATCTCCTGTGTCACTGCAGTTCCAGTTGCAGAGGGAGGCCTGGTCCAGAGAGGCTACCCCCACACTATGAACAGTCCTCTTTGCTGTCACTGTCATGGTCATGGCCAGGCTGCAGAGGCTGTGACCCGCTGGGAGAGGCGCATCTTTAGATAAATGCCGTGACCTGGTTTGAGGGGGGAAGATAAAAATCAGCCTTCAGTGCTGGTGAAGGACAGCCTAATGGACAATAAATATTTTACCAGCTCTGGCCATTTATATGCAATGCCACCTTTTCACCCTCTCTAGCAAATTGTTTTCTTTGTTTTTTCATTTTTTCCCTTCCCCAAGCCCCATTAGTCTTTCATAGTGCAGAGGGGAAAACAACATTTCTGTTGCTTCTTTAGCCACTTCTGTGTACACAGTAGGTTCTAGTTAATGGTAATTTTCTTCTTCTTTCTCCCCTGACCCTCTCCACTGGATAAAAATTGCTCCTTTCCCCCCACCTCCCCCCACCCAACCTAAGACAAAAAATCAAACAGGAGGACAATGTAGGTGATTCTACTGTAGACGGCCATCAGACTTCTTTTTTTACCCCTTCCAGAGCGACAGGGTCAGCCCCTCTCTTGGCCTGAAGTTGAGGCCAGTGGCCCCCAAGGAGGCTGCTTCTATTTCCAGCTCCCCAAGTCCAGAGAGCGGTAACCTCGCCTCTGGGAGGGCCAGGCAACCTGCCCGCCGGCAGCTCCTGCCCGCAGCCTCTCTGCACCTACATTTCCATAAATTTACATCAAATTTGTGCTGAATCATATCCCCCCCATGCAGAAGAAATGAAATTCATTATCAATAAGTACAATAAATTTGAATAATCTGAGAGGCAAGTGACTTTCCCTGTCTCTCTTCCATTTAACTCCTTCCTTGGGCCACTGCTCACTCCACTCCCCCTGGAGCCTGACTTGTCTTTCTCCCACCCACCCCTGCTTTCCCATCTCCCCCCCCCGGTTCTTGATTTTCTGGCTTCTCATCAGGAGCCCTGGCACACATCTCCCTTTGTCTTTCCTTTCCTATCTGGCCTCCGTGGGCAGATCGCCCTTTCCTGTAGGTTCCCTCTCCTGGAACTCTTCCATCAGTAGAAGGAGCTGCCCCTCTGCTCCCCCTAGTTCCCACCCCTTGCCCCACAACACCCCAGCCAATCACGCCCAAGCCTGGGCCACCTCAGGATGACAATTGCGGGTCCCCAGCCTGCCAGGCTGTCATCAGCCCCACTCAGTCATTTTGAGCACCTCCTGGTGGTTCAGCGGGGAGTGGAACTTACTTCCACCCCCTGTTGCTGGGCTGATTGGCAGCCAGCGGGGCAGGGAGGCAGCAGCCAGCAACTGATTGTTTGTTGCTGGGCAGGGAGGGCTTAGTGCGGGCAGAGTGAGGGCCCAAGAGCTCAGGGGGCTAAGAGACAGAGGATTCTCTGAGTCAGGAACCAGGCCAGGATCCCCTGCCTGTCTGTCTGTTGTCTGGCTGCCAGCCCTGAGAGAAAAATGGATGAGGCCCTTTGCAGAGTGTCCCCAGGTAGGGGGAAGAGAGGAGGTTTATCTTTTATAGAATTGAGGCCAGTGGCCCAGGGGACCTCAGGTCTCTGGGCTCTGCAGGAAGTGTGACCGTGACCGCAGTGCACTGTGGCACCTGCAGTCCCCTGACCCCAGATGAGATCATGAACAAAGGAAGGCATTTAGCAACCAGTGCAGGGGGGCTCCTGGCAGGACCTGTCAAAATGGCCCTCTCTTGACAAGAGCAAGGATTGGGGACCTTGGCTCTCATGGAGCTAATTAAAAAAATCTGTATCTACCACTATAAACCACAGTCATTATGAATCATTTTCTTCCCAGGCCCATCAGCCTTGGTTTCTTCATTCAGGCAGGAGAAAAGGAAGGGAGTGGCTGTGAATACTGCCCAGTTGCATGGTTCAGAGAAAAACCTAGCCAAAATCCTCTCCTGCAAACTTGCTTCGTTTCCTTTAATGAGAACGCTGACATTTTTGCTTGGGCAGCCAGAATTTGAACTGAAAATACTGTCGAGAGAAGTTGTGTCAAACGCTTTAGGGTTTTCCCCCGTGTGTCTGGGGCTGTTGAGACTTGGCCAGAGTCAACCTGCAAATCAGTAGAAAACCTGCAACAAGAGGCTCAGGTTTGTAACAAAAAGTTCACGTCGCCCTTTCCCAGTCTCTCCAGAGATTTCTTTTTTGTTTTCTTTTGTTGTCATCAGTATCTGCTGGTTTAATATCTTAGATCAAGCTATTTTTGGAGTTTCCACATGTAAACCCCTCTCCAACATTTGAAAGTGAAAAGCATCATTCAAAAGTATCCAAGCACTTTCTTCTACCAATATAGGTGCATAGAAATAAATAAATAAAACTGGCCCCGGGGCTATGAATCTATATGGAAAAATTGGGTCCCTAGAGATTTCTCAGGGAGCTAAGGGAACATGAAAATAGAGGCTAAAAAATAAATGAACAAGCAAAACAGAAACAGATTCATAGATACAGAGAACAGACTGATGGTTGCCAGAGGGGAGAGGGGTTGGGGGGCAGGGTGAAAAAGGTGATGGGATTAAGAAGTACAAATCAGTAGTTACAGAATAGTCACGGGGATGTAAAGTATAGCATATGGAAGATAGTCCATAATCCTATCTAATAAAAGGCTAATATGCAAATCGACCGAACGGCGGAACAACTGGTCACTATGATGTGCACTGACCACCAGGGGCAGACGCACAACACAGGAGCTGTCCCCTGGGGGTCCGTGCGATCCCATAGGGGGAGCGCTGCTCAGCCAGAAGCCGGGCTCATGGCTGGCGAATGCAGCGGCAGTGGCAGGAGCCTCTTCTGCCTCCGTGGCAGAGCTAGGCCGTCAGTTGGACATCCCCCAGGGGCTCCTGGACTACAAGAGGGTGCAGGCCCGGCTAAGAGACCCCCCTGAGTGCACAAATTTTGTGTACCGGGCCTCTAGTACAAAATAATATTGAATGTCAACTGTATTTGAAAAATAAAAAAGAAATAAACCCTTCTGATGTGGGCTTTCAAAATACGTAATTGCTATTAATAGCACTTTTATTTTACATTTACAAAAGGGTAGAAAATATAGGATAAACACACCAAAGTAAAAAATCAACACCCCTCCCAAATAAATGCATAGAAAAAGGTGAGAAATTAGCTAAAATATTTATAACAATTTACTCAGGCCATGGGAGATTTTACAAGCTTCTTTCTACAGCAAATACAATGAAATTTAACTTTAAAACAAAGAAAGGAAGAAAATAGAGGCTAGAGTCACATGTTAATACTTAATTCCTGGAGGGAAATTCAAGTCAAGGGCAGCTGGTTTTAAACTGGTTCTGTGCAAATGGACTGTCGGATGAAGCATTTAATGTACTGCTTTCATCAGAGGTAAGGAGAGTTGGTCAGCAGTTTTCCTTATTTTTCATTTTTTTTTAAGAAAAAAGCTAACCAACAATATAATTAGCTTTGTTTTCGTCAGCCTGGGCGGCTCTTGATGAGGTGTCTAGAGGCCTTCTGGTATAGGTGCCTAAAAGCTTAAATGGCATTTAATTATTATTATTACTCAATGTCAGGCTCCATAAATGAAAAGAGATAAAAAAGAATCGCTCGCAGCAACACTGCCTTGGTTTGTGATTTCATCACATCTCAGAAGCGAGGCAGGTTCGAGCTGGCAGGTGGGGCATGAAACCTCTAAGGAGGACCCAGCTCCTGGAGATGCCGTTCAACTGAGCTGGAAGTTTCTCCACAGGCTGTGGAGGGAGGAGGCCTGCCACTCTTTGATTTTCCTCCCCAATTTTATATTTGTTTTTAAAAAATATATTTCTATTGATTTCAGAGAGGAAGGGAGAGGGAGAGAGAGATCAACGATAAGAGAGAATCATGGATCGCTGCCTACTGCATGCCCCGCACTGGGGATGGAGCCCACAACCCAGGCATGTGCCCTGACTGGGAATTGAACCCTGACCTCCTGGTTCAAAGGTCGACGCTCAACCACTGAGCCACACCGGCTGGGCCCTAATTTTATTTTAAAATACCTTAAACACTGGCTGACTTACTTCAGAGAAGGAAAGCAAATCGGAGAAATGACTTCGCACAGAGGTACGTGGCCTCTAACGTAAGAGTCCTTGGCAGCTGACGGCCTGAAGTATCAGTGACCGTTGCCAAGGAGCAGCAGTACTGAAAGCCTCAGCTAAACGTGGTAACTGGAAGGGGCAGGCTGCTTTCCCACCTGAATGCCAGCTGAGAGCAAGGCACAGGCAGCGGAAGGCAGATGGACCAAGTTATGTCCACTCTTCCTACAGTCTATTTCATTGACAGGTCAGAAGGAAACCAGATGGTTTGCCAGAGGGCAATATATTGGCAGACAGTACCTGCTTCTTAGCATGAGACATCAGGCTGTTAAGAACAGGAGCTTGGAGCTGAGTTAATCCTAGATGCTCAGTTCAGGGATGACCTTCTTTCCGCTTCCTTGGATTAAAAAGAGAATAGATTAGGTGGCCCAGCATGGTCAGAAGCCTTAGTTGCATTCTAGCCCCCTTTTCTCTCTTTTTAGTCCCTAGAGCAAAACCTCAATGGTAAGGATTGCAAACCCCACAGGCCCCAGGACAGGGACTATGGTCTGCAATGCTATTGAACCCCGGGTGAGTATAGGATTTGTATACAACAGGCACAGAATAAAGGTGCTGACGGGCAGTCTCCTAGTCCCTGGCCTGCCAGGATCTGTTGTAGAATCTTCTTTAGCTGAGGACCCAGCAGGTCGGGATGCCAAGGGCTGTGGCTCTTCAAGTGCTGCCAGGGAGGCCATCCAGGCTCTTCAGCTACTGTCACCATTTGTATCAGTTACGTGTTGATCTATAGCAATGATGGTGAACCTATGACACGCGTGTCAGAGGTGACACGCGAACTCATTTTTTTGGTTGATTTTTCTTTGTTAAATGGCATTAAAATATATAAAATAAATATCAAAAATATAAGTCTTTGTTTTACTATGGTTGCAAATATCAAAAAATGTCTATATGTGACACAGCCTCTAACGTAAGGGTTAAGTTAGGGTTAAGTTAGGGTTTTTCAAAATGCTGACACGCTGAGCTCAAAAGGTTCGCCATCACTGATCTATAGCAAACCCTCCCAAACATCACTGGCTTAAAACCACATCAGTTTATGTAGCCTGTGACCTGTGGGGCAGCAAACTGGGCAAAGCTCAGCTGGGTGGTTCTTCTGCTGGTTTCATCCACGGCAGCTGGGTGTCAATGGCCTCACTTACATATGTGGCAGTTGAGTTGGCCATGAGTCCCTCATCCTCCAGCAAGCTTTTCTGGGCTTGTTTCTATGGTGGGGATCACAGGTTCCCAAGGACATAAGCAAGGATAAGTCTGCACAGATGTTTGCAGGCCTCTTTGTGTAGCACTGTTTGCAAACATTGCATCAGCCAAGGCAAGTCACATGGCTGAGCCAAGGGTCAAAGTTACAGACAATGGCTGGGACACAGGCAGGAAAATATTCACACCATTTTGCAAACAATCTACCACATCAACAAAACAAGGCCAACATCAGAGTCCCAATCTCTGCAACTCCCAGAGGTGATACTTCATTGGTAGATTTCCAAGATGCTGAAGAGGGCCTATTGGAGCCAGATGTCCTGGTTGAATCTCTGCTTCCCCATCGGATAAATGGGGATAACATCTACCTCATAGGGTTGATCCAGGATCAATAGGGGCTAAAAGTAATAAATATTGGCAGTGGTAATTGACACCTGTAAAATGGGTTCACAGCTTCTCTCAACCTACCTGCTCATCTCCACAGGCAGGCAGGGCTGTGCAGGTACAAAAGGCTCACTATTGGGGATGGTCCCCGGGAGGGGTTTAGGTGACACAGGAAAAGCACCTTGAATGACAAACTCCTATGAGACTCACCTGCCCTGCCACCCGCTTTCAGTCCTTCCTCTGACTTAGAGGAAGTCTGTTTGTCCGGGATACGGCTTAACCCCTCTCCTGCCAAGTGTTAAGTGTCATGCTCAGCTTTTGGACCAATTTTGAATTCAATACCATTTTACTGTTCACTTTTACATGTTCTTTCTATTTATGACAGCTGGTCATTTAAGAAATAAATATAAATAAACCGTAGTAGCTTGAAAAACAATGTTAAATATAAAACACGTGGTTCACTCATTCAGATGTTCAACAAATCTTTGTAGAATGTGCTTTACATCAGAGAGCAGAGCCAAGCCCGGTGGGGCTGGAAGAGAATCGTGGGGGGGGGGGGGGGGCTGATGGAGGTCGGGAAAGGGCAGGATTTAGGGATGCGCTTCTTGTGGGAGACACACAGGTGGCTGCCCAGCCCTCCTCCTGCCCTGCAGAGCGGTAGTGCTGGGGTCAGGGGTTACCTCCGGGCTGAGACCCGGCCGCCCCTTCCCTAGAGCCCGGGGCGGGCCGGGGCGGCCGGAGGGGTCCGGGCTGCGCCGGGCGAGCCGGCGGGGCTGTGGCTGCGGCCGCCCGGCCCGGCTCCTCCTCCCCTTCCTCCCGCCGAGGCTGACGTGGAGGCGACAGCGCGGGCGGCCGCAGGAGGCGGCGGCGCAGCGGCTCGAGGCTCCAGGCCCTCGCGGGGCCGGGCGGTGGCGACGGCGGCGGCGGTGCGGGAGGCGGAGGCGGAGGCGGAGGAGGAGGCGGCGGAGGGCGGCGTCCGTGCAGCCCGCCCGCGCCTGCAGCAGGAGGCCATGAACGGCGACCGGACCGAGAGCGACTGGCAGGGGCTGGTGAGCGAGGTGAGGCCGCGGCGCCGGCCAGGCGGGAAGGGCCGGGCGAGCGGCCCCCGGTGCCGGGCCGTGCCCCCCGGGTGGCCGAGCCGGGCGGGACGCGCGCACGGAGCGGGGGGAACGTGCACCGGGGGCTCCGCGCCCGGCCCTGCGCGACCCGCCAGGTGCGCTGCTCCTCCGCTCTCCCCGGTCTAGCCCGGGCCACTTTCCTCCTCGCCATCTGGTGACAGCCCGTGGGGAGGGAGGGGCCTTCCCTCCGCGGGGCCGGGCCGGGGATTGGAGCGTGCAGCCCGGATCCGGGAGGGAGGAGAGGGCGCGAAGCCCCACCTGCCTTCCTAGTTGCCAGTTTTGGAGCCAAGCGATTGGACGCCGGCGCTGAAGTGGGAAGGTGGTGCCGGGAAATCCGGGCCCTGGGGCAACACTGGGCCAGGTGGCACTCCCTGCAATGGAGCTCTGGGTGGGGGAGTTCAGGGTCCTCCTTAGCCTCCATTCATTCACCGCTCAATGAAATCCACATGGGTTTACTGTGGGCCTACCAAAGGAAACAGGTGCGGAGTCATTGGATTTGTGGACGCAGAGAACACCACGCCCCGCTATTTGTCATAATCACGTGACGCTGGGTCAGTGTTTTGGACTCTTACCCAATTTCCTCCTAAATCTACCCTTAGAGATTTTGACTCGAGAGGGCCTCCCTGACCTCCCCAGGTGGGAGGGCTTGCTGATGTCTCCTCCTCACAGGTTGCTGGCCCTGTGATGCAGTCACCCACGTCACCTAGGCAGGCTGACCATCCACCGGAAATGCGCTCTTCCCGCCCTCCTGAGAACTACCCTCTGTCCCGAGGCGCAGGGGGCTTCTTTTCCTTATTCCAGTGCACACATGCAGCGCGATGACCTTCTCTTCAGAACGTCCTCTGGGCCTCCAGGTCAGCCCGGGAACCGTCCTTAATGTCTCGTGTGTGCAAAGCGTTGCAGTTCTGAAGAGGAATGAGATGTCAGAGCTTCTTCCGTAGTTTAATTTGTTTACTCTTGGTCTAGTAATTGGAAACTCCTAACTGTACAGCGTGATGATCCATTGTATTGCAGTCTGTCCCCATCTCCCCCAACTTTTCAGGCTTTATGTCAAGGAATAGATCCTCTGGGCCTCTGTTCTCTTGGCCCATCAAGAATCATACCCAGCAGTTCAGGAGGCTGGAGGTGGTTCTGCATAGGAGTCCAGTGTTAGACTCCAGAATAGCAGCAGAATATTCACCACACCCACAGATGCTCACCGGATGCCTAGGAGGAGTCAGGTTCATTGCGGGGTCCTTGGGATTCAGTGGCGAAGACAGAACCTTTCTTGCCATCAAAGGACTCCTGGAGCATATGGTATAATTTGGGAGGGGCCTTCCCAAACGATACGAATACTAAGGAAATAAAAAGAATGGAACATGAAGGTTGGAAAACCAAAGGAAGGAGGTGTACAGTATTGTAATCTAGTGGCCCCCCTGCTAGGCTGTGTGTTTTGTTTGGCTTTCTTCCAGTGGCCTACATGGAGCACCACACACACAAGGTGCTCAGAAAATGCTTGCAGAGTAAGTTGAGATCCAGGACATATCTTGCCTATCCCAGACTTACGCTTTCTCCCCTTCACAGGCATTCATTAAAGGCTTAGAATGTGGAAGGCGCAGAGCGAGGGGCTGGGGGATGGGAAAATGAATGCAAAATGCTTCCCGCCTTCGCAATAGCTAATGACGATTTAGGTCCATCTTCGATCTTAAGCATTTTACATGGCCCGTTCTCATAATGGGGTGAGGGATAAATTATTTCTGATTTTGTGGATAAGGAGACTGTGGCTCAGACAGGCTAAGAGCTTGCTTGGAGCCTCACGGCCAGAGGCGCAGAGTTGGATCCCTGGTTTTTCTGACTCCGGAGCTTGGCAGCACTAGGCCACACTGTGTCTTTTAATCATCTGTGCATCTGTCTGTATCTTCCACTAGACAGCGGTCGCCAACCGATGGTCCGCGGACCACTGGTGGTCCGTGAGGTCTGAAAGGTTGGCGGCCGCTGCACTAGACAGTAGGTTCTCCAAGGGAGGGGACCGTGTCTTGTTCATTTTTGAATCCTCAGCAACTGGATTAAATGTTTCACAGAATATGATCTATAGATCACCTACATCAGAGTCATTTTAGGAGCAAAGAGGGCAAAGAGTCATTCTGTATTTTGGGGAAAATACAATATGTTGAGTCTTACCCCAAATCTACTGTAGTGGATTGAAATCTCCCTCCCCGCCCTCCAATGGGTACATCTAACTGCTGTCCCTCCCCTTCCACCCCCCATGAATGTGAACTTATTTGGAAATAGGGTCTTTGCAGATATAATCAAGTTTAGGATCTCAGGATGATCTCATCCTAGATTTACAGTGGGCCTACATCTGAGCGGTGTCCTCCCTTAGAAGAGAAGAGAGAGGTGAGCCATAGAGCTACAAGGGGAAAGGCTGTGAGAAGACTGAGACACACCCAGAGGGAGCTCATATAAAGATGGCTTTTTGACACACAACGATTTCTGCAGAAGTCCTGATGTCTACCTCTCACACAGGGTTTGCACGCCAGTACCCTGCCTGCCCAAGGTCTGTGCTCTCTTTCAATCAGTTTGCTTCCTTAGCTTGCCTCTAGGAAGCAGTTTTCATTTAAAATGATTCTACAGACATCAGTTTTACTTTCACCTTTTCAGTGTAACAAGCTGAAATGACAGCCTTCTCACAGGCCCTGGAGTAAACGTGGCCATGCGTGTGAAAGGGGCATGGCTGGTGGTCTATTTTGAAAATTAAATGTCTGGGGAGGGGGACATGTTCTTCTTATCACCACCTGAGGTGATCTCTCAAAATCAAGGGGAGATCTTGAAAGGCAGCCGTGCGGGCAATCAATAACTTTTTATTTCCAAGATAAAAATCCTGGCCATCTTTCAGCCTAGTGCCCTATGATAAACCATGGCTAATGAATTTTGGTTAATTAATTAGATAGCAATCACTCTTGTCCCTTGACTGTGTTGTATGCAGTGCTGTTAGGCAGATGGAAGACAGTTAACTCTGGGCCTCTGCCCCAAGTGTAGCCACTGACTTTTGGAAGAGAGGCGTTTTGAAGAGGCGTAGAGTCTGGCTCTGTGATTGAGGGCATAGCTCTCTGTCTCAGTTTTTGACTCAGATCTGGGGTGGTGAGTTTTGACTCTATGTCTTTCTTTTTCTTTTTCTTTTCTTGTTATCCTTACCTGAGGATATGTTTATTGATTTGAGAGAGAGAGAGGAAGGGAGAGAGAGAGAGGAAGAGGAACATCGATATGAGAGTGAAACATTGATCAGTTGCCTCCTGTATGCGCCCCAACCCGTGATGGAACTCACAGCTTAGGTATGTGCCCTGACCAGGAATTGAACCCGCAACCTTCTGATCTATGGGATGACTTTCCAACCAGCTGAGCCACCTGGCCAGGACTCTAGCTGTTTCTTGATGCAAATGATCAAAAACCCAATCCAAAATGGTTCATATTAGAGGGAATTTTTTGGCTGATGTTGTGGGTCAAATTGTGTCCCCAAGAAGATAAGTATCTGTGAATGCCACCTTATTTGGAAATAGAGCCTTGAAGATGTAATCAAGTTAAGGTGAGGTCATTAGAGTGGGCTCCTAATCCAATGACCAACATTCTTATAATAAGAAGAGGGAAATGTGACACAAAATTGCACAAAGGGAAGACAAGGTGAAGTCACGGAAGAAAGAAGGCCATGTGATAACAGGTAGAGACTGGAGTTATGCGACTCGAAGCCGAAGAACGCCACGATCGATCGCCGGCCACTACCAGAATCCAGGAAGAGGCAAGGAAGGATCCTCCCCTAGAGCTTTATGAAGGAACATGGCCCTGCTGACACCTTGATTTTGGACTTCCAACTCCCAAGAATATCAGAGAATTAGCTTCTGTTGTTTCAAGACACCAGCTTTTGGCACTTTGTTGATGCAGCCCTAGCCAACTAACACAGCTGATGTGATTAAAATAGGGGTGACTTTGGGCACAGCTGGATTCGGCGCTCAAGCAGATGCTTCCTCTCCATCTTTGGGTCTGCTTGCTTACCGCCTTCAGTCTCAGCCTCCCAGCCTCTCAAGTTCAAGTCCAGAGGAGAAGCCAGAAACTCTTATGTGGTAGATCCTATAAAGTCCCAGGAGTAACTCCAGTTGAACTCAGATCATTTGCCTTCCCTGGGAGAAATCGCTCAGGAGTGTAGTGATGTGATTATCTTAGGCCTGGAGTTTGTGCACGGGGCCCTGCTCAGACCACATAGACTGAGAGAGGGTTGGGACATTCGAGGCTGGTTGCCAGAAGAAGGGGACTGGATGTTGAGAGAATCACCACACTGTGCAACTTCTCTGAGCTTCATTCTCTCATCTTTAAATAGGATAATAAAGTACTTACCTCATAGGTGCTATAATTGTGAGGCTCAAATTAAATAGCCCTGTTAGTGCTTAGCTTTCCACCTGGTAGAAAGTGTTTAGTGATCACTGGTACAATATCATGAACCTCAGGACACAAATTCAGGTGTTCACAAAATGAAAACTTCTTTATTTTGCTATAACACCTTAATTTTGATTGCAAATTCACACTGTGAGGGTGGTGGAAATGTAATCTGAATTGGAGTCATAACTCTTTCCTTGAACTTGTATTTAAGTTCTAGGGGGCTCAAGTAGTGCTCGGCCATTGGCGGTGGTAATGGGGTGGAGAGCTATTTTTAAAAATATGTTTTTATTTATTTTAGAGAGAGATGCAGGGAGAGGGGGAGGGAGGGAGGGAGGGAGGGAGGGAGAGAG